TAGAGTGCCAGGCTTTTCTTCCTAGTCTGTCTTAGTCTAGAAGCTCCCAGTGAAACCCGCTCGAGCTTTGCACTAACAACACAGGCCTCCAGTGACAGATGGGCCCTGGCTGGCCACGGAGTTGGGGTCCCCCACGTGGCGACTGAGTATCCTCCCACTGAGCCATCAAGGCTTACCCTATTGGTCAGTGCAACGTACACGGTTTCCATCACTGTGGAAAAGTACAATTGCACAACCCTGTTCTAGAAAGGCCCCTTCAAGAGAAGGGCTCCCCCTTTCCTCTTCTCCCTTCCCCCTCACTCTGGTGGCTGGCTAGGATTCCAAGGTCAGGGCTGGAATTTCCACAGCCATTTCACACCGTGAGGTGTTTCTAAGACCAAAGGGCAGAGATGGAGAAATACTCGTATGGAAGCCGGGTCCCTCTGTAAAGAGCCACCTCAGGCCTGCAGTACCTTCTGGAACTTTGGTGAGCGAGAGAGAAATAATCTTCCCTCTTCATGATGCCAGTCGCCACCCACCCAACCCCAACACCCTGGCGATGCCAAGCGTGTTGGAGTCACGCTGTGCCCCCCCAAAGGGTTTTCAGTGGGATTGCCAGGCCTTTGAGCGGAGGGTCCTCCAGAGAAACTCAAACCAGCGACCTTGGTGACAATGCTTCAACTGCAAAACTGTGTGTGCCACCCGGTTCTTTGGGGGTTTAGTCCTGGTGGCATGGTGGTTACGCACTCTGCATTTAACCAAAAAGGCCCATGGTCAGAAGCCATCAGCTGCCCCCGAGAGAAAGCATGTGGCAGTCAGCTCCCAGGGGTCGTTGAATCAAGTCAACAGCAATGGATTGGTTTGGGGAGTGGGGTATGTCGGTTTGTTTTCCTAATTCACAAAACCCCACCCCAACCCCAAGGGCCCAAAGAGGGGCTTTCTAGCATCTCCTGTCCCTGCAGTCAGCTTCCCAAGCCCCCCAGTCTGAAGCTCGCAGAAGGGCCCAGGGTCCGGTCCTCCCGCCCGCCCCCTGCTGAGCGCGCTCGCACCTGCATCTTCTGGCAGTCCGGGAAGTCGCCCGGGGAGATGTGATGTTCAAGCTGAATCTTTGCGAAGATGACGGGCAGCTTCAGGATGAGCTGCTTCTTCTTGTTCTCCTTCCCAAACACGGACGGCATCTCCTTCTTCAGGTAGCTGATGATGTACGCGTGAACCTGGGACGGGGAGGAAGGCGGGGAGGGGTCTCGCTTGAGCCTGCTGCAGAAACACTGGAGGGGGGTTATGCCCCACAGTGCATGGATTCCCCGACACGCCCATAAAACAACCTGTTTTGAGATCCACATGTAACCCCTATCTTTACCCCTCCCCCCCACCCCTACTCCCATCGCCAGGAGCAGCTCGTGGCTGAGTGGCTACGCGGAAGGTCAGCGGTTGGAAGCCACCAGCAGGTAGGTGGGAGAAAGATGAGACTTTGTATTCCCATAAGGAGTTACGGTCTCAGAAACCCCCGGGCGCAGTTCTACTGCCCCTGCCCCCAACCCCACCCCAGGGGCGCTATGGGTCGGAATCAAAGCGAAGACAGCGAGCGCGAGTGTGTGTCCACCTGACCGAGCAAATGGCATCGAATGGCAAATGGCAAAGAAGGGCCAGAGGCCCCACCCGTCCAGCTTGGTCGATTGCACCAACCGTGGGGTTTCGTCACCAGGAGGAGTGGCTAGGTAGGGCACCGCTTGCAGCGGTTATGCATTGGGCTGCTCACCGCAAGGTCAGCAGTTCAAAACCACTAGCCCGCTCCTTGGGAGAAAGGGCTTTCGGGTCTCGCAAGGAATTACAGTCCTGGAACTGCTCCGTCAGGGTTGGTTTGTCCCGGATCTGTAAGGACGCTCCTTGCGACGTGATGTCGCAGCAAAGGCGCTGGGGGGCTCGAACGGCAGGTGGTGCGGTTGGCTGCCCGGCGCTTCATCTGTGCGCCACCAGGGCTCCTTCTCATAACAACACCCCACCCCCCACCCCCCGAAAAGCCTCCTGCGGAGCAAGTTCTACTCGGGGCCAAACCTGGGTAGGGGACGGGGTGGGGGGACCCATGAGTCGGGGAGCCATCATTACAGCAGCTAATAGTCGCAGCTGCTCCTGGGGGCGGTGGGCGGGGGCACTTGGAGGCCGCCTCCCGCCCGGGGTCCCCGGACTCCGGGCTTCAAACCGTCCCCCACGGCGCCGCCGCCGTCCACTCCCAATCAGACATACCAGCCCAGGCCTGCCCCTGGAGCAGAACACATCGCCCGCATTCCTGGACACCTCCAGGGTGTGCCACCCTACCCGGAATTCGGGCCCTGCCCTCCGCTGGGTGTTACAGTGAACCCGTGACCGCCCAGTCGGAGCACCTGGCAACCTCCGCGTGCGCCGGGAGCAGAGCTCCGCTCTTGAGAGATTCATCCCAGCGGCTGTGCCCTTTCGGAGCGGGTCCCTGGGCCTCAGCCAAAGCTTGCTCTCGGCCACGAACCTAAGAGTGCGCGGTTCGAAACCACCCGGCGGTGCCCCGGCCGGAAGCGGAGCGAGGCGACCTGCTTCCGGAACGACGAAATCAACCAACTGGAAACGCGCCCCCTGCTGGCGACCCGGTGCGTCTGCCCCGGAAGAGCTGCCCTGCGGGGGTTCTTGGTGGGCGTCTCTGCCAGGCCTTTCTTCCCGGGTGCCTCCCAGTGGGTGTGCACTGCTAACCTTTTCAATTGGCCAACTCTTAGCCGTTTGTACTACCCAGGGATTGGGCTTGAGCACAATAATCAAGGAACAAAAGAAAGGAAATAAACACACCTGTTTCCATGGAGCTATTTCCAACCTGTTGCCACCTCATTTAGTACAGAGTAGAACACACACACACCGCTGGGTTTTGCTGCGGCTATAATCTTTCTAGAAGCAGAATGCAGGGATTTTTCCAGCCAAAGGGCTGGGGGGGCTCAAATCAAAGGAGCCAAGTGCTTCACTACTAGGCCACCAGGATTCCTTTTTTTTTTTCTTTCACCTGATTGCAATGATCTTATTTAATAGATATTTAAGAGATACATATTAGAGGCAAAAATAAGTAAATTCAGAGGTACCAAGTATTAACACTGTGAGCATTAAGATGCTTTAGTTAAACTTTTTTTCCCTTCTTGCTATATCAATCTTTATTTAATCTCAATCCATCCCTTTTCCTTACTTAAAAAAAAAATCCTTTTATTGGGCATGGGCAGGATTCCTTTTTAACAATATACAGTCACTGTCAGCCAGTTGGTCTGGCTCGTAGTCACTGTATAGGAAAGGGTAGAACTACCCCCGTGGGTGTCCAAGACTGTAACTCTTTACGGGACTGGTGAGCCTCATTTTTTTCCCAAGGAGGGCTGGTGGTTTCGTACTGCTAACCTTTCAATTAACCATCCAGCAGGTAACCATGAAGCCCCGGGGGCTCCTCAGGCTCAGGTATGATTTGCCTCTTTCCCCTCCCTTTCCACCAGAGCAGGCAGTGGTATTGTACAGCAGGAAGAAACATGACAAGCACAACAAAGAAGACCGGGGAGCCACGATCCGAATCGACTGACTATGCAAGAGCCAGACACTCCAGACGTTTGAGACACACACACACACACACACACACACACACACACACCCAGGTGTGAGTTGGAAATTGGAAATTGGAGTGAGTCAAAAAGTGTTAAGTCTGCTGACCCAAAAGTCGGTGGTTCAAACCCCCCATCCTCTCCAAGGGAGAAAGACGAGACCGACGGCTTCCCTGAAGCTGTACAGCCTCAGAAACCCTAGGGAGCAGGTCTGTGTCCTGTGGGGTCGTGGTGAGTCAGAATCCACTCCACGGTGGCGGGTTGGGTTTGGTTTCTGAACGGTACCAGGAGTCAACATGCTGGGCTATTAACTGAAAGGGTAGCCGCACGAGTCCTTAGAGGGGTCCCTCAGAAGAAAGGCCTGGCAACAGAAACAACCGGCCGTGGAAAAGCCGGGCGGAGCTCAGTTTCAGTCTGAGAGGTGGGGGGCAATGGGCACCGGGCACGGGAAACGGAGGCGTGGTCGATACATGGCTAAGACTTATCTCTAGCTTCGCTTCTAATATGGTGAGTTTTAAATCCAGCCAGACACGAGCACTTAGGAATGCGCGACCATTTTCAAGCGTGCGGTGGAGACCCCCTGACCCTGTCCTGTGAGCATCGATGCTTAGCTGTTTCAACTGCCTATAAATTCGACTTCCAGACTGACCCGGGACCGGAAACCACACATGATTCATGCATCTGCGTGTACGCATGAGTCCTTGTGTGGCCAGAGGGTTATGCATTCAATAACAAGTTGGGACAGTTGGTGGTCTGAGGCCACTCGGAGGTGCCTCGGAAGAAAGGCCTGGTTTCCAGCGGGTCCCAGCCTTGGGGAACCCGCTGGACTCTCAGACATCCGGGCACCATCAACTCGATGGCAACAATAATGGGTTTGTGTAAAAATAGACCACCTTTGGAAAGATACACGTTTTTTTGTTTTGTTTTGTTTTGAAAGTGAGAGACACTCCTTCGTGGGTGCCTCTAGGGAGAAAGAGTATCTTTTGGGGGGCTGGCAGACCAGGGATAAGGGGAACCATTGCATTCTGCGTGAATGCTGTACCTGAAAAGGGGGTGGGAGGAATCTTGTTACAAAATTTCTTGTCAAGAGTCATGGGCTGAGAATGTTAAACATGTAGGTCACTCCTCGTGCGGGCGGGCGGGGTTCTCATCTCCGCCTCAGTCTCCTCCAGCCATGAACCCAAACATAATACAACCGTTGCCATTGTCCGGCACAGGGGTTAAAAATTTGGCAGGTGGGGGGAGAAGGGGAACCCATCACAATGATCTACATATAACCCCTTTCTAAGAGGAGGGGCAACAGAAAAGTGGGTGAAGGGAGACAGTGGTTGGTGTAAGACATGGGGAGAAACATTTTTAAAATAACTTATCAAGGGTTCAGGAGGGAGGGCGGGTGGGGGAGGAGGGAAAATGAGGAGCTGATATCAAGGGCTCAAGTAGACAGAGATTGATGATGGCAACATATGTACAAACATGCTTGACACAATGGATGGATGGATGGATTGTGATAAGAACTGTAAAAGCCCCCAATAAAATGATTTAAAAAAAAACTGGTGGGTTGATGGGAGTGGGGGGGTGGGGCTCAAACCCACCAGCCAGTTGGTTGGGGGAAGGTGTGACCCCCGACAGCCTTGGACACCCTCTGGGGCAATTCTGCTCTGTCCTGTAGGGTGGCCAGGAGGGGAAATGGAAGTGAGGACAACTAGGTTTAGGTTTTGGGGGTTTTTTTTTGGTTTTCCTTAAGCGTTCATCCTTTCCTTTCATTCTTTTTGCATTAACCACTAGGAATCTGTGTTCTGCGAAGTTCAGGAGGCTGGAAGTTGGAATTCATAGCTCTGGCTCTGAAACAGGGAGGCTTTCTCTCTGTGGGTGGCTCTGGTTGGCTCTTTCACTTTTCACTGTGAATTTGGTGGAGGCTTACATATCAGATCATCATTTTTGCAATCCAAACACGGGATCAACCCTCCCCAGTGGCTTGCCCTGCTTCCCCTCCTGCCTCCCCCCCCTACTGCCCATCTCCCTCTTGTTCCATCTCTGTCTTTCTTCCTTTGACATTTTGGGTATTGTCTTGCTTTTGACCCAACTTGAAGGAGCCCCCCTTGGCGGGGGCATGGGCATGGCACAGAGCGGTCACTCGTGGGGCTGCTAACGGCAAAGTTAGCAGTTTCAAAGCATCCGCCGCTCTGCAGGAGAAAGACATGTGCCTTTCTATTCCTGCCAAGAGTTCCTGGCTCGGACATTCACAAGGCCAGCTCTACCCTCTCCTATAGGGTCACTAGGAGTCACCATCAACTCGATGGCAGTGTGTTACCCAATGAGACACCTAGCTATCCTTTTATCCTCTGAGCCCGGGTGACCTAGTGGGTTACAAAGCACCAGGTCAGCCATCCCAAAGCACCAGCTCCCCCACCAGGAGAAAGCGTCATCTTTCGACTCCCATTCAGAGTGACAGTCTTGGAAACCACAGGGGCAGTTCTACCCTGCCCGTGGGGGTGGCTGTGAGTCAGAACCGAATGGGTGGGTGGCAGTGGGCTTGAGTCTTGACTCTCTGGGACATTGTTCCCCCTCCCCGGGGAACCATCAAAGTCTATCTCGTTGGGTAGGAAAGCCTTTCCTTGCTTAAACAAATCGATGGATCCCTTTTTTTTTCCCTCCTTGTGTGGGTTCCAGCCACCAGCCTTTGTGTTAGCAGCAGAGCACTCAACCTTTACGCCACCGGGTCTCCTGATGGCATACGAAACTCACACGATCAACACCGCGCTTGTTGTTATGTCCATTTCCCACTAGAATACAATTCTATGAGAAGATGACTTTGTGGCCCGGCTGTGTCCCCTGCCTGGTCACTAAAGGAGCTGACCTTGGCTGAAGGCTCAGCCGTTTGGGATTCTTTCTTGGCCTCAAAGCCCTGAGAACCAGCTGCCATCGAGCTGGCTGAGAGCCACCAAGAGGACACCAGGTGTGTCAGAGCTCCGGGCTGATGGTTTCAATAGTGCCAGGCCTTTCTTCCGAGTCACACCCGGCTGGGTTCAAACCAGCTCTCTTTCAGCTAGCAGCTCGGTGGTACCCTGAACCCTGAACCTTCCTCCGCCCAGGGACCCCTCAACACGACAGTCTCGCAGCACTCCTCTAGGCAGCTCTCGCGTCGACGATGGGCAGTTAGACGGGGAAACTGAGGCACCAGGCGCCCAGGAAGGCCTCATACCTACCGTTTGGGGGAGAGCATGAAGGGAGATAAGAGGGCGGTGCGTGGGCCACCGAGGGGTGACCGGATCAAGTGTGAGTGTGGCCGAGTTGTAAGTGCAAGCGTTGGGTGGGAGAAGGGGCCAGGTCGCAGTGGACCCTGGCTGCCACGCCCAGAAAGCCCGTGTGCCGGGCACGGAGGAAGGCGGGGGGCGGGGGGCAGGCATAGGCTGCAGCAGAAGAGGCAATGACCTGTAGGTCGGCAAGGTCCAGGAGGGAAGGGGCGTGGCCCGGAGGGTGGGTGGAGTCTGAGGAAGTTAGCCAATGAGGTGAGGAGTCAGGGCCCGTGGGCGGTCCCTGGGGGGGACCCCTGAAGAGCGGAGGCGGAGGGCGCAGAGGTAATGACTTTTCCAGGGAGGAAACAGGGGAAGGTGTCAGGAAGCGATAAGAGGGCAGGGCGGGTTGGGCTGGGGGCCCGGACTCAGGGCTTGTTCGGGTTTCCGGAGCCACCCTCCTGCCTGGCGGGGGCTCCAGGTGTCTGGGTGACCCCGCCTCTCTGTTCCCAGGCCCTGAGCTCCCGGAGAAAAGGAGGTGGGCGAACGAAGGAGAGAGAGACAGAGATAAGGAGAGGGACTTAGAGGGCGAGCGCCCGCGAGGAGAGCCAGCGAGAAAGGACCGCCAGAGCAGGGTGAATTCCAACTGGCCCGTCTCACTGGCTTTCCCTTCCCAAGGGACATTCCAAGGGGGGGTGGAGGGGGACCACTGACTCACCCCTCTCAGCTGCTCCTTAAACCAAGACCTCGGGCTCCTCCACCCTCAAGCACCTCCAGGGCCTCTTTGCCTGCCCAGCCCTCGGCCCCACCTCCTCCCTGCCACCCTCCTGAGCTCGCCCACCGCATCCCCAGGCCCTGTCCTGGACCAGAAGCTTCCCTGCTTGGCTGTCCTCCCACCCCAGCCTCCTGAATCTCTGCCTCCAATCTTGCCCTCTCCTGTCCACCCTCCAAAAGAGTGGCTAGAACCTGTCCCTGCCTCTCCCTTGTTCTAAACCCTTCCATGGCTCCCCAGTACCCTCACGTACTGCTCACCAGTTTGGGGTGACTCTGACTCCCACCCAAGTCGGAGTCAATAACAAAACAAAACTTCACCCTTCGACTGCCTATGGGCAGAGGTCTTCCCTTTCACCCACACATTGGCTGGTCTCACTGCCTGGCCCCTTCCTCATCCTCCTCATCCTCTAGTTGGCCCTTCGGACACCTTCCCATCCAGGAAGCCCTCCCTGACTCCCCTGGACTTCCCTGACCAGGCTGGGCCATCCCTGTCCAGGGACAGGCTGGTTTCCTCCCCTGGACTGGAGATCCCCACAGGGTGTCTCAGTCATTGCCGTGACTCCAGCAGCGCCCAGCACAGGGCCAAGTAGGGAGGAGGATTTGTTGAATGTCAGTGCTGGCTGGATGCTATTCATCCATTCGATAGTTACCTAGCACCTTCTCTGTGCCCAGGAGCCCTGGTGGCATCTTGGTTCTGGGTTGGGCTGCTAACCGCAAGGTCAACAGTTTGAAACTGCCAGCCGCTCCTCAGGAGAAAGAACGAGGCTTTCTACTACCCTAAAGAGTGCTAGTCTTGGAAACCCACAGGGGCAATTGGACCCTGTCCTACAGGGTCACTATGAGTGGGCTGGGCTGGAGGACAGTGAGGTGGTGTGCTTCGTTGTTGGCTTTTTCCTGTGTCAGGCACTCTTCCAGGTGCAGAGGAAACAGTAAGGATGGAGGCAGACAAAGGGCCCTCTGGGGGTTGGACAGAGAAGGTGTGGTAGTCACCTAATATGGTGTCAATTTAAGGATTAAGAGTGTAGGGGTGGAGTCTACACTGTCAATCTGGAGATAGCCAATGAGACTTCTGTGTGGGCATGGCCTTCTCCTGAGAATTCTGGGAAATCTGGTACTTCCTTCTTGGAGGCAGGAGACACTATCTCTCTCAGTTCATTCCCTTGGAGACTCACTCCAAGGCTGACTTCCTGTGAGGCATCCCTGAGGAGATGCCACATGGACCTACCCTGATGCAGCCCTGGGTGCTGGAATGGCCACGTGGAGACCCCTGCCAGCACTGAGATGCTTCTCCCACCAAAGACTTTCTACCCACTAGCCTGTGATCTACACTAGGCGTCATTGCATGTTTTATGAGTCTGAAGAGGACTTTATAGATTGCTGTCAAACATATGGGCTAATATCGGACTTATAACCTTGGACTCGACTGGGTTGGGAAGTTTCCTCAATGTTCAATTCCTCTTGTATATAAACTTCTCCCTTACACACATATGTGTGTCCATGGATTTGTTTAATCTACCCAGACTAACACAGCAGGGATGGAGATGAGGAAGAAAATGGAATGGTGAGGGGCGGGAAGACAGCTAGGCCCAGTGAGGGTGTTTGTTAGGAAGATGTGACTGTGTCCGGAGCCTCCAAAACTCTATGAGAGGGTCCTGCTCGGCCCTGTAGGACAGTCCAAACCAACCCTCATGGCCAGTCAGTTGATGCCACCTCACAGCAACCCGACAGGACAGGGTAGAACTACACCCTGTGGGTTTCTGAGACTATAACTCTTTACGGGAGCAGAAAGCCTCATCTTTCTCCCAAGGAGTTGACTGGTGGTTTTGAACTGCTGACCTTGTGGTGAGCAGCACAACTCTCCTTCTGCAGGATGGTCAGGAGTCAGCATGGACTGGCTGACAGGTGGTGGGAGGGGGTGATAGTCATAAAAGCTGCCAGTGGAGGAGAGAGAAATCCCCGGGCTACTGACATCTAAGGGATGAATGATTGAAGGAGATGAGGAATGAGCCAGAGCTGGGGCAGGAGCTTAGGAAGGTTCCAGGAGTGGGGGAAGGGCACGTGCAAAGGTCCTGAGGCAGGAGTGAACTTGCTTTGGACTGGGCACAGCGCCCAGGCCTGCGTGAGCAAGGGCTGCCATAGTGCCCATTCTGACTCGGAGCCCCCCTCAAGGGCAGAGTTAGGGCTGTCCTGAACGGTTTCCAAGGCAGCCGATCTTACAGAACACCCCCACCCCCACCCCCACCCCAGATGCTTTGCCCAGGTGATCTGCTTTGTGATTGGTCACAGCGTTGACAACCCTAAGGAGCACAGTTCTAGACTGCCAGGAAATCAATCGATGATTTGTAGGTGCGACTGCCAGGCCTTTCTTCCTGGGCACCTTAAGGGACCCCCTTTCCACCACCTTTGCATGATGCCCTGCCAGAGCAGAGCGCAAATTGTGCCCCTCCAACCTACCCGCCCACCCACCCACTCACTGCCATCAAGCCAGTTCCGACTCATTGTGACCCTGTAAGACTGCCGCTGTGGGCTCCCAAGACCCTAACTCTTTAGGGTGGTAGAGAGCCTCATCTGTCTCTCCAGAAGCAGCTGGTGGTTTTGAACACCTGGCTTTGTGGTCAGCACGCAACGCGCACCCCGCTATGCCACAGGCTACGGCCATCCATCGGGCCTCCAACGCACCGGGCGGAGAGAAGACCCCGCAGGCCCCGCCCCACCCCGCCCCGCTCCCC